TGGATGGATGGATGGATGGATGGATGGATGGATAATGGATGGATGGATGGATGGATGGATGGATGGATGGATGGATGGATGGATGGATGGATGCACAGATAGATGCACGGATGGATGGTTGCATGGATGGATGGATTGATGGATGGATGGATGGATGGATGGATGGATGGATGGATGGATGGGAGAGGGAAGAAGGGAGGGAGAAATGGCACAGCATCCACACCAACATTAAGGCTGGTTGGTGATAAGATGTCTCTTTATTAGCACTTCAGCAAGAAGATTCCAGTATCATCATGGTGGTAACCAAGGGCTCAGCCTCTATAGTCTTTCTGCTAAAGTCTGGTCACCCTTCAGGTCAAACACGAGGTGGATCCTTTTTGGACACAGGCTGTTCGTTGATTCCGGAGGCCTTCAACCTGGGAATCGGAGAAGTGCTCAGTGAGCCCTCGTGGAAATGTGCAGCCAGCTAAAGCCAGGATCTGCTCCCCATCCTCACTTACAAGTTCTCTACTTTCTGGACAAGGGTTGTCTGGATCAATGAGAACCCTTGACAAAATATGCCCTGGGCAGGAGCTGGCATACAGACAGCACTGAATAAATGCTAGCATTGTGTTTCATGCTGCTTTTAAGCTTCCAGCTATGTGTCAATCATGTCTTTCATCCCCACCCCCACAGCAGTTAGCAGGGCATCTCACTTGGACAGGGCACAGTGGCTGCTTCAGCCATGGTCCTTGTCTTGGGATGGTTCCACCCCCAGCCTTCCACTTCCCAGAGCTGATTCAACATTCAGTTATGGGCACTGTCATGTGCAAAGCACAAGGAGAGGATGTGTGGCCCAAAGTCCCTGCTGGTGGTAGGTTCAAATTCCATACACCCTTACTCCTACTAAGACTCTGTCTCAAAGTAGAGTTAGGACAACAACATCCACTTCCCCCCCCCATCCGCTCACTGGCCCTAAGTGCAGATATAAAGCTCGCCATGCTAGGTCACCCTTCCACTGCCAAGGCAAGACAGCCTATCCACCCAGGCTGTTACCTATGGGTCTCCTCACCTTAGCAGTCTGAGCAAGAAGTTCTGAAGCTTGGGTCATTATATGAGTCACACATGAGGTGAGACACGCTGCAGAGGACAGAGGAGAACAGCAAGATGGGAAAGAGCCTGCCATCAGAACCTACTTAGACCTAATACCCAAACCACAGCACAGGGCATGAGCTGGGTGAAAAGCACAGGCCTGAGCCTGTATAATCATTGTGTGTAAACTTAATTGAAGTCCAGGAAAGAAGCCCTCAGCCTGGAGCCATGACAGGCAGGCACCAAGGCTGAAAAGGCCACCATAATGTGGATCACAAAGGACAGAGGCCCTGGGAGCTATATGGCCCCACTCATATTAGAGCCAACAGATGATTGGGATGGCCAGCTAACTCTGATGTCATCTCCACCCACATGGGCCCAGGTAGGTATACAAGGCACTTCGTCACAGGAACACTTACCTTCGTCTCACTTCATCTATCCGGTCCTGCATGACATCTTCTATCATTTCACTTGGTACTTGGAAGATGCGGGTGTGGCTGGAAAATACCATGACCATGTGAGATTCTGAGTTGCTTGTCATAATGGCTAAGCCTAGCAGGGCTACTGAGATTGGGACTATAGGAACAGTAACAGTTAAGTCCAGATACATGAGCCTGAGAGCCCACCCCTGACTCTACTGTTTCTTAAATAACAAAGTGCCTCTCAGTCACCCAGCCATTGTGTGACAGCACAGTGTTCCAGGGGATACAGGGAAAGAGAAGCTGGCCGTCAGCAGGGTGATGGAGGTGTGGAACTCCCCCTTCCAAATTCCTCTCTAGTCTCATGATATACTCTTAGGATTACCATGGCACAGACACTGCAATTTAGCACTGTTTGCCTTATTTCTCTGTGCTAACACTGCCTTTCCCTCTCTAGTCTACTTCCTGTTTTTTTCTCCTGTCATTTCCCACTCCTTTCCTCCAGAGTCCTATAGCCCACCAAATAACACCCTTCATTGTCTATGGTGTCCTGTTATGTTTGAGACACAAATTCTGTCTGGTCTCCCCACTCTGCCTACAGAGAGAGGGGGGATGTGATGGTGATTGCAGCTCCTACCAGAAGGAACCAGTTGGAGCCCATAGAAGGAGATGAAGCAGGCAAGGCTGACTATTCCCATCCTAGGGGTAAGGGGCTCCTCCGAAAACAGGGGCCTCGGCACTAGGATGCCCAGGCTGCACGGGCTCTCCTTTTCTCTGCAGTTCCCCATTCTCTGAGAGTAGTACCCCCATTAAAGAGCCATTCTGAGCAAGCAGCCCCCTGGAGATCTTCCTGGGATGATCTGGCAGCAATAGCTAATAAATGTGCAGCCTGGGCCTCCAGTTGCACCCTCAGACCCTCCTCCAGGCTTCCCTATCCCTACCTGTCTGCTTAACTTATGTCCATGAAATGTGGGGCTGAGCTTTGCTCTTTTTCCCCACTGCAGACCAGCTAGCAAGTACAGGGCAATGCATGCACACCCACTAGAAGAGTGAAGAGCCAGCATGGCTTTGTGCAAGGGTGTCACCTGACCACCTACTTAGTAGAACTATGAAGAAAACTCCAGAATCAGTGCATTATGGGAAAGAGCAGATTGTTCATTTCCAATCTCCACTGAAAATTCAGAATGGAAGAGTTATACATAGATACACCACCGATGCTTCACACCTGCCTCAAACATCTTAAACTACTTGTATAGCCAAGATTAAAGCAAGGCTGGAAGATGAGGTTGGTATGGTCCAAAACCGAGGAGAGTAATGTTTGTAACTCCAGAGTCCATCCAAATTGAGCAAGGAAAAGCTGGGATTGCAGTCAATAATGCTGAGGAGCCTCAGTGAGTTTCTAGAGAAAAAAAAATCTCTTCTCTGGGGGGTCTCTGAAATCCCACCATCGGTTATCCCTCCCTAGAAGAGTCAGTGCATATTTGAATACTTGACAATACATTGTCACTGGCGAAGGAAACCGTGAATACCCAAGTCCTAAAGCAAAACTAAGCTGGCTGAGAAGTGCAGCTTCCTCAAGGGAAGCACAAAGCTGACAACAGAAGCGAGGGGAAGGAGGGAAGGACAAGCCCTTTTCACACTTGGGCTAGTTCAAGGAAGGATGTGATGATCTGGCCCAAACACTGATGGATTCAGGAACACACAGAAAATAGGAGGACTGGGGTGACTTCAGACCTGTCTCCCCCCTCCCCCTGCCTCCCCCCTGCTTCCTCCCCACCCACCCCCCGCTTTCCCCCCACCCCCACCTCCCCACTCCCCACCCCTAAAGTCTCAGCATCTTCCCATCTTCAGGACCAAGGAAGGCTGTGAGAACTGCCTGCACCAAGGTGGCAGGAAGGTGACAACATAGCTTTGTCACAAAGTTCCTGCCTCTGGTGCTGCGAGACCTCTGTACTGCAAAGTCGCAGAGGAGGGCTTTGGCTTTCGCATTTTAAGAGCTTATTTTCTTTTAGCTCTTTAAAGTGCTGCCACTTCTGAACAATTCAAGTGCAAAAATAACGGGAATCTGAAACATATTCAGAAGCATTTAGGAAATGGAGAGCAAGCCCAGGCCCCCAACTGCAGAAGTCATTTAAAAAATGTACAACTGTGGGGAGAGGCTGGGTCCTGCCTCAACTGAATGTACCAGGCTTAGCCATCCCCCATAGGAGAACTTACCCTGTTGGAGGAGGGGAGGAGGGGTGGGGAGAGAAAATGGGGGGAACAGGAGAAGGGATGAGAGGGGAATCTGTGGTTGGTATGTAAAATGAATTTTTAAAAAACTTTTAAAAATGTACAAATGAGCTAAGCTTTCAAGATAGCAAGAACATTCCCTTAAGTCCCCAAAGTATGACTGAGGAATTCCTCTGCCAAAGGAGGTGGCATCTCTAGAACAAATGTGTTTGATCCAGCCAGGGACCCTGGAGAGGGGCTGGTGCCTTCTCAGTAGGCTGCCCTGCTCCCTGGGTACTGTACCTCCATCTTATAAACTGGATCCTTGTTCTCTCCTCCAGGACTTCCTGACTAGGGTCTGATAACATATCACACTTGGAGAGAGGATGCTTCACCTAGGAAATCCAGATTGAATATGTGTGGTTATTAGGCAATGTGGACGCCCACGGCTGAGATGTGCCCTTTGCCCAGGGTCCCTCACCTCACGCTGTCACCCCCACTTTCCCACAAACTCCCAGTTACCACATCTCTGGTCACATGTATGTCGTGTCCATGAGTGGGAGGGATGTTGGTAGACATCTTCTCCTTTATGTTCCGAGAAGCCTCTTCTTCCGTCTGAAAGGTGAATAGTTTCCCTCTTGAAGTGCCTGGCTCCAGCTGATCTCTCTCCAGTCCCCCTCTCCTCTCCCCTCCCCTGCGTTCCTCCCATCACAACACAACACACACACCACTCACTCCATTACTCTCAGCTTCTGCACAAAGCACCTCCATCACTATCCCTCTGTGAATCTCTGGGACCTCACCTAAGCCTGTGGCCCTATCCCACGGTACTTCGGGGACTGCCTTCCACAGAATTCCCTCCTCTAGGATGTTTGGTAAGTCAGGAAGTAGGGATGCCAGCACTTCTCTTACCAACACAAAACCCCACATCCTCTCAGGGAATTTGGTAATAAACTTGAGTTTCTCAGTTGTATAGAGAATGGAGTCCTAATTCCTGTCCCCCATTGATACCTGCACTCTAGAACTTTGGGGACTGAGTCATAAAGGAACTCTACTCACTTTGTTCAACCAATGCTGGACTATGGATACAGCTTCACTTTCCACAACTTCAATGTCCTGGAACAAATCGGTTAAGACGATGACCTCAGAAATGCTAGAGACCCACCCTCCCCACCACCACCACCGCTGCCATCTAATGTGATATGATGTGTGGTGTCTGCACCCCACAGGAGCGCAGACAGAGAGACGATGGAGTAGGTACCATTCCATGTGGCCACCATCACTCACCGAGTTTGTCTTTGGTGGGAAGGGTAGCCCTACAGTTTTCCGGGCGAAGATGTACACAATCCATGTTGTAATGATCATCTTCAGGTTTACAGAGGGCCTTCTTGGCTCCCTCCTTCCATGGAAGCTGCCCGAGAACTCCTATGGAATAGGAAGGTTGTGGAAGGGAAGTACCCTCTGATTGGTTGGCAAGTGATGATGTGACAATGACCTCCTTCAACTTCCAAGGTCAGAGTGCAGATGGAAAAAAAGGCTTTGAAGATTTCTTCCTTATGACAGCTCAGAGAAGGGGGTGCATAGGAGATGAAGATAAACTATGCCCAGTGAAATCCATGGGGGAGACACAAAGGGGGTTACCTAGAGCATAGACAGAAAGGCTCAGGGTGGCTCTCTATCTTAAGCACTGCTAAGTAAAATTTTTCGAAAGAAATAAAAATATTTTACAAATCAAAAGAAGAAATATGATTGAAGCTTCTGAACCTTTTAGACATCTATTCAGACCAGTGTCGTGGTTATTTCTTAATCTTCTCTTATGTGCAAGAGGAAATGAAATTGTTATCCACCCCAAACTGCCCAGACAAAGAAGCAAATGTCAGCTAGGGATAGTTTAATTTTGTTTGCCTGTCCTCACTATGCACATGACTCAAATCACTGAAAAGCAGTCCAGGGCCTGAGGATACGGCTCAGTCAGTGAAGTACTTGCTTTGCAAGCATGAGGACCTGAGTTTGATCCCCAGAGCCCATAAAGTGTGTGTGTGTGTGTGTGTGTGTGTGTGTGTGTGTGTGTGTGTGTGTGAAAGTAGCTGTGCCCCACAGGGTACTCAGAAATTATGACAGCTTCCACTGTGTCCATCCACCAACCTCAGAATGGCTACCAAAACAGAGGTGAAAAGCATAGCAGTGAAGCCAGGCAGCCAGTACAGCTTTAGAAACGCTGCTCCAGAAGACCTCAGACCAACACTAGTCATGTGAGCACAGCCTAAACCAGCAGGTAAGGGGCGAGGCTAGCGAGATAGCTCAGAGGTTAAGAGCACTTGCTGCTCTTCCAAGGGACTCGGCTCCCAGCACCCACATCAGCTACTCAGAGCCACCTGTAACTCCAGCTCCAGGAGACCCAACACCTCAGGTCTTGAAGGGCATCTGTGCTGGCTGATTTTATGTCCATTGGACATAAGCTAATGTCATCTGAGAAGAGGGAACCTCAACGGAGAAAATGCCCCCACCAGACTGGCCTATGGACAAGCCTGTGGGGTGGTTTCTTGAATGATGGTTCATGTGGGAGGACCCATGGATGACACTGTGGATGGTGCCACCCCTGGGGTGGTGGCCCTGGGTGCTATAAAGAAGGAGGCTGAGCAAGTCAGTAAGCAGCACTCTCTGTGGCCTCTACTTCAGTTCCTGCCTCCAGGTTCCTGCCCTGCTCTAGTTCCTTCTCTTCGGTAATGGACTGTGATGTGGAACTGTAAGCTGAAATCAACCCTTTCCTCCACAGGTTGCTTTTGGTCATAGTGTTGTATAACAGCAACAGCAAGCCTAGGTAAGTCAGCACCTGTGTACTCATGTGTACATCCCCCCTCGCCCCCCCCCCACCCACACTTTGAAATAATAAAAATAAATATTTAAAATAGCAGATGGAGTGGTTTGCCTGAAAGCCTGGGCCCACTAATGTGCCATAACGATTATGTGCTCATAAGTCTTCAAATAACTGTTTAAACAGTAAAACATCCATATAACTCAAAACTCAAAAGTACATGAAAAGATTCATTCAGAGCTTTATCTCTTCTATCAATCCTTCAGCATTCTTCCAACTCATTTCAGAAGTCATTTTTCAATAGTTTCTAAGATACATATTCTGTGTTTATGCTGTCAGAATCAAGTAGACAAATCCATCTTTGCTTTTTTATTATTATACTAAACACCCATTTAGCAAATTCCATAATCATATGTAGAGAGAAAGAGAGAGAGAGAGAGAGAGAGAGAGAGAGAGAGAGAGAGAGAGAGAGAGAGAGAGAACCCTTACATGCCTCCTCACCCAGTTGCAGATCGACACTTAAAAGGTGTCTAATACCCAGCAGGTGTCCAGCCGGTTCCCCCCACACAGCTGCTCACCTCTGCTGCCACAGAGAGGGTCTCAGCCTCGCTTATCTGCTTCCTGGCTCTGTAGTTTTGTTTTTATCGGACATTCTGTACAAATGAAAGCAAACCATGTCGGATCTGACTTGGGTTTTCACAGTGCAACATTCATCATAGATTCTTTCCTTTCCCTGTGGAGTATTACTCCTTTGTACGGATGTACAGCATTTTGTTTATAACTTGTCTAGTTGACAAGCAGATAGATATCTCAAGTCTAGGGATATCTATACAAATAAGCCTTCAAAGAACATTTACAAAAAGAAAATAGAGTAAATATGTTTCATTTTTCTTGAATAATGCTCTAAGAGCAAATTAGTAATTTCATGTTTAATTTTTTTCCTTTTTTTTTTTCTTTGCAGTGCTGGAAATGGAACTTGGGGCCCAGTGCATGCTGGGTAAGTGCTCTACCACTGAAATGCACCCCTGGTCTTTTTGCTTAGGAGTTAATTGAGATATAATTCACTTTCAAAAAAATCACCAATTTAACACGTACAATTAAATGGTTTGTAATGTGCTCACAGAGATGTGTACCCATACTTCAGTCCATTTTTAGCAAATTTTGCCACCTCAAAAAGAAACTCCTCACTTTTTTTACAAGTCAAACCTTTTCTCTCACGCACTTGGCCTTAGTCCCAGGCATCCTTTAATCTACTTTCTGTCCCTACAGTTTTGCTTATTCTGGACATTTCACATGGATATATCTGTTCTTTAGTGACTGACATCTGTAACTTAACATGATGAGGGTCATTCACCTCTTCCACAAACACATATTGTAGCATATATCACTAATTCATCTCTTATTGCAGAGAAGTAGTTCATTGTCTAGATATGCTACATCTCATTTATCTGTTCATTAACTGATGGACACTGGCTGGGATTGTTTCTCTGTGTTAATAGGAAAAGTGTTACTGTGAACATTTGTATACACTGCTTTATATAATCCTGTTTTGAGTTCTCCTTGGCTTATACCTCTCAGCATAATTGCCGGGTTGTATGGCAACCTTGTGTTTAAGTTTTTGAAAGACTGTTAAAACTACTTTCTCAATGGCTTTGTCAGTCTACCTCCCCGTGATCAATACATGAGGGATCTGATTTTTCCACGTTCTTTGCCAATGTCATTATTATCCATCATTCTGACATCAGACATACTAATGAGTATGAAATAGTATCTCATTATGGTTTAGATTTGTATCTCCCAAATGACTAATGACTCTAGCCATCTTTTCCTGTGCTTCTTAGCTTCATGTATATCTTCCTTGGAAATTTGTCTCCTTAAATACTTGATCATTTTGTAATTGGATTATCTTTTTATTTGATAGATGTAAGAGTTTCTTACATATCCTTCATACAAATATCAGGTAAGTGATTAGCAAATACTTTCATTCTATGAACTGTCTTTTCTCTTCTTTGTTGGTGTCATATAAAGCAGAGATTTTCTAAATATTTGATCAAGTTGGACTTACCTGTTCTTTTTGAAATCATCATCATGAGCATGAAGATTGACTCCTATTTTCCTTCAGATAGTGAGCGAGTTACGGGTCCTGTGTGTATGCTTGTGATCTGTTTTGAGATCATCTTTGTACAAAGTGTCCAAATTCATTTCTATGGGTGGATATAGAGTTGTCTCCCACTATTTATTGCAAAGAACATCCTTTGTATATTGGGCAATCTTGGCTACCTTGTCAGAAATCAGTTAGGCCTAAATTTAAATTTTTAGTCCAGACTGTTAATGGACCCGATTGTCTGTTCTTACTTCAACACCACATGTTCTTAATTACTACAGCTTTTTAAGGTTTGTCGTTGCTGGTGTAAAACATTTTCAAACTTTTTTTTAACTTATTCTTTTTGGCCAGCATTTCCTTAGCACCAAAGCTAAAGACAACAAAAAGAAAGAAACCTAGTGACCAAAATCCTTTCAGAATATTAAAAGAAAGATCCTTTTTTGTTTTTTGAAAAGGGCATGTATGGTGGAACATGCCTATAACACGAGCACTTAGGAAGTGGAGACAGGAAGTTCGTGAGTTCAATGACAACTTGAGCTACATAGCAAGACACTGTCTCAAAAAATAAAATCCTTAATGACGGATAGCAAACTAAACAGCATATTCAAAAGATTATACACTGTGACCAAGTCGGGTGAATTTCCTCTTGAATTTTATGATTAGCCCATCAATTTCTACAGAAACAAAATCCTGCTGGCATGTAATCAATGGTTTCATTGAATCTGACTGCCAATTTGGAGATATTGTGGTGTCAATAATATGAAAATGGAGAGCTTTCTAGTTATTTAGATCTTAATTTCTTTTAACAAAGTTCTGTGGGTTTTCAGGGATTAATTTTGCCCTGTTTGTTCTTTTTAAATACTATCTTAAACTGAACACTTAATTTCATTTTGGAATTTTTCATTGCTAGTGTATGAAAAAGTAGAGTGGGTTTTGTTATGTGTATATGAGTGTGGTATGTATGAGTACATGCATGCTCAAATGTATGATTGCATGTGTGTCTTCCCAAATAGACATTGTATGTCTTCTTTAATCACTCTCCACTTTATTTACTGAGGTAGAGCCTCTCACTGAGCCTATAGTTCTCTAATTCCAGTCTAGCCAGCTCATCCTAAGGATCCCTCATCTCTTTTCTTTTTTTCCATCCCACAGGGCTTAGATTATAAGCAGATCCCATACCTGGACTGGCTTCTTTGGGTTCTGGTTATCATAATTCTGCTCCACATCTAGCAAGGGCTGTATCCACTTAGCCATCTTCCAGCTCCTCAGTGAGTTGTTAAATAATGATTTTGCATCCTGTAACTTCTCTAAACACAATGTAAATGTTCTTAGTAGTTTTCCTTAGAATGTTCTTTGTACCAGATCATGTCTTCAGCAAATACAGATGGTTTTCCTCCCCCTTTTCCAATCTTGATACATTTCATTTCTTTTTCTTGTCTGATTTCCCTGGTTATACATTATCAAAAAGATCTAGAGAGAAAGGACGTCATTTTCTTATTCCTCATTTTAAGAGAAAAGCATTGTTTTTCACCATTAATTTGATGTTAGGTGAGGACTGTTGTGTAGATACCTTTCATCGAGCTTTTGGAGTTCTCTTGTTTATTTTTAGAAGTGGAGGTATGGGAGAGGTTCAAAAAGTACCATACATTAGTATGGCATACACCCTTAATCCTAGCACTGGGGAGGCAGAGGCAGGTTCATCAGCTTGGTCTACATATCAAGTTCCAGGCCTACCAAAGCCACGTGGTGGAGGTGGGGAGGTAAACCTCCAGTGCCAGGAATGTGTTACATCTTGTTGAATCATTGGCCAAAGAGGTCCCACAGACACTGCCCACAAAACAACACAGACTATTCCCAAGGTGATTGGTTATTCTCCACATACAGATGCTGAGACCCTATTGTTGAAGACAAATTCATGTCATTGGACATAGAGAAATCAAGCTAGCACTCAGTTAGAAGCCTCACCCCTACTGTTCAGAGTTAATGGTGCTGGAAGGTAATTTGCATACTGCTAGAGAATAGTCATCAGCAACATCACTCAGCTACAACTGTGGCCTACAAAAGGGATCTGCCTGTGAGATGTACTGGTGCAATAGTGGTACATGTTACAGGAGTAACCAACCACTCTTTTTTATTGGATTCAAGGCTCTCCTCTGTTGCTGGAGAGCTTCTCTCCAGGCTCCACCAAGCCCCGCAGTCCCACAATCCACGTATAAAATAATCACTCAGACACTTATATTACTTATAAACTG